ATAAGAGTCACAGGAAGTAAGGGCTAGCTTTGAACTGCAATCCTCAGATCTCAGCTTTCTGGGTAGCTAGGATTATAGGCATCAGCCAATAATGTCTAATTTATGGTCCTTTTAATATTTGTGGAAAACAGTATCTCCCCTAAGACCTCATCAACCTATCCTGCTTCATTTGCTCTCAAAATGATGTTGACTCCATTTAATCTAAGAGGAGTAGTACAGAAGATGGACGGTCCATCTTTTACATCTTTTACATGTAACACCACTTCATGCTAAGAGTGGACTGCTGATCCAGTCTGGAAAAGTTTTTTTTTTCTATTTAATTTAGGAGGTGATAGGAGAAATAGAGTTGTAAGGAAATTTAGTTGACAGGTTGTCCCTATCAGGACAAGGAGATGCTCAGGATCAGAAGATATCAAGCTATTCTATTAATTAAGAGAGAAGTCAAAGGCATGAGTGAAGAGAAAACAGTATTTCCTATACAGATACTGATTTGGATTTTAATGAAATCATAAAATATTAGCAGAATTTCAAAATATGTAGATTTAATATATACCTATATTACATAAACAGCTTACTAGCTTGATATCAACTATAAAGATGGCACCTATATCTGGTTGTTTTCTATTTTGGATAAGAATTTTCAATTTACAACTATGCTTTAAGGATGAGGTTTAACTTTGGTACTGAACACCTCTCAGGGGTTGATTTTAAATCCTTTAATGATTCATAAGTATAAAATTATTTACTCCTTGATCAATATGGCTGTTTTTATGGAAAGAACTTCAGAGAAATGTGTTTTAATTTTGAAATGTGAATCCAAATGTGTTGCATCTAATGGTTTTGAAAAATAAGCAGATTTTTTTTGCAGAATATTTCTCCAACTATCAATACAAACTTTTACCATCATGTCCTCCATCATAGTCATATATAGAAAGAAAGGCTTATCTAAATCTGAATTTTCATGGTCAGGATAGCTGTCATTATACTTTTAAGTTCAAGAAGCTTTTTCTTGTTTTCTGATTTACTCCAAGAAGAGTTTAAAATCAGGTAATTAATTGCCTCTAGAAGGGACTCTGTTAATACTTCAAGGCTGTAATTTAAATCCTGTATAACATAGCCGTTTCCCCAATTGTCCTTTATATTAAGAATGCCTTTTATTTTAGAGTCAAAAGTTACTCCCTACCGAGTAAAAATGTAACTTAGATAATTTTACTTTTTGTTAAATATATATGTATATATATATATATATATATATATATGTCTTTTGTAGAGACACAGTACCCTACAGACCCCAAGAAATAAAGATCATATGGTTCTAGACAATAAAGCCAAGACCTACAATCTGTGTTGTTTCAGTTTCAATAAGTTTAGGGCCTGACACAATGCACAGAGCTAGAAAGAATAGAGGTTTAGTCTCCTGGCTATTTTAATATCAGCTTTAATGGTATCCTTTATAAAACTAGGACCAAGATTACAGTAGTTGAAAACATGTATTTACTAGTATTGTAGAGTGAAAAAGCTCAGGGACAGAGCCCAGTCCCTGAATTTGAGCCCCACACCAAGAAAAAAGAAAAAAGAAAAAAAGAAAAGAAAAAAGATCAGATAATAGCTAAGAATATATTTTTGACAAACTGAAAGAAAAGGATTATATAACAGCCTTTATAAATATATTTTATCTCAATATTTATTAATATGTAATTATATATAAAACATATATAATATAGCATGCATAATTCATAACACATAATGCAACTTTATTACATTATCAAAAGAAAGAAGTAGCAAATGGATTTACACAGGAGTAAAGTTTCTATGTTGCACGTGAATTCAGTTAGTACAAATATAGAGAATATCATGACAGATAAAATTATTTATTATTCATTCATGGCTTTAAAATCCTCTTTAACAAACTTGGAGTCGGAGGAATGAATGTTATAACACTGAAAACAGCAATACATAATTCCACTGCCAAACAAATAGCTAATTTGAGAAATTAGATTATTATCCTAAAATAAAAGTAAAGGCAAAGTTGCCCCTGTTACTAATTCTACTCTGTGTTATACTAGAAATCCTAGCTAGTGCAGGGTGAAGAGAGGAAAATAAATGATGGATAGATTGGAAAGGCTGGATTTTATTGATCTATTCATGGATTATATTAATAATTCCAAAGAGCTGTAAAAAAACGGTATTCTCATAATAAAAATAAAAAATATAAATAAATAAATAAAAAATCTTACTACTAATACATGATTATAGTAGAATGTAAGGACCCATATTTGATATGCAGAAGTCAACTCTCAAACTAAAATGAATAGAAACAAGATATTAGTGTGTAGGTTGAAAAAATCTAGTAATTATATGTAGAGAAACAAACTTAAAAATTAGGAAAAAAACTGGTATTTCTTCAACTAGATAAAGAGTAACTGTGAAAATTCCCTGGGTAACATTTCTCTCAAAGCTCAAGAACATGACAAATACCCATTTTTAATTGTGACTCATAATTAATCAGTTCTTACTTTCCAACATGCCATTTGGATCCACAACTTTAGGGTTATGTTGGGCATTGATTGGAAACCACGCTTTGATCAGAAAAGAAATTTGATTTTCAAACCAATTTTTATGATTTTGAACACTGTCAGAAGTTCTGTTAAAGTAGTATTGCTTAGAGAATGTTTCTAGAATCACCATCAGGCTACCAAGTAACCATTAATCTAATTCATGTCCCTGAAATGGACATGTTTATATATGCTACAGGATTATCACGTAGGCATTTTGCTGTTTTATTTCACTTATTTTCATGTAGTATGCCTCAACATTGCAGTTCTTTTTATTGCAAAATAACATTAAATTTTATGAATAGTCCATACTGTGTGTAAACACAACTTATCACTCGATGGACTTGTGGGCATTCATAGTACATATTCCCACTACATATGGAAAAGGGAATTTCAATCAGTATGAATGGATATAAAAATGACAAAGATGGAAGACAGAACATAAACCAGCTGGAGTAACTGTGTTTAAAGACTTTAGTTAAAATGTAAATGCAATCAGAAGATATAAGGAAATTAAAAGCACAAAACCTAGAAATCTAGAATTGATAAGTTCAACATTAATTGAAAATAATAATCAGAATAAATATAAAGAGTTATCACTATACAACTAAATCAGAAAATAAAAACTGGTAAAGGAAAACATTCTAAAGAGAGAAAGAACCTCAGTAATCTGTGAACCGACTTTTTCATTTGAGTATATAGAACTATGGTAATGGAACAGTTGTAAATTTTAAAAATTAGGTTCAAATAAAAATCTTCAGGTCCAGGAAGCTTAAAATCTTAGCCATTAAAAGCAGAATGAAATTGATTATAAGATGCATCAGAATCAAATTGAATAAATAGATAAATTAATAATCAGCCAGAAAATTCAATTTTATTATTTACAAGAATCCTTAATTTTCTTAGATAGAAATGACATCAAAGCAGTAGACAGAAATAATTTCCCTCAATAATCTGTCCACCTAGGATTCTGTATGACTCAATGTAGCTTTGCAAATGAAGATTATTTGAAGGTGAAAATATGCACAGGACACATGGGTCAAATGGAAAGCAAACAGTACAGAACAGATGCTCATCCAAATATCTAATCATCACATTAAAAATAAATGGAGTAAAGACTATTCTATTGTAAATATATGAACATATATCTTGAATATTATAAATTGTGTTGTAATATACAAATGAGTATAGATATAATTATAACATAATTATTGAAGTCTTTAAGATATATAATCATAAGGAAATCCCATCATTTATAATAGTATATATGGACCTAGAATGTATTACACAAAGTGAAATGTCCACACATTAAATGTATAATACTACATATTTTCATCTATATGTGGAATGTAAAAGCTGCATGTAGTGAAAAAAGGTTAACAGTGGCAGTCTTTAGTAAGGCTATGCTCTGGGAGAAAATGGAACAATGTTGGTCCGTGGAAATTTACACTAGAAAGAGAAATTGCATGTGAGTTAGCTAAATTATACTTGGTTAAATTATATGTAAGTTAGTTAAATTACACATAATAGTATTTATATGCACATATATTTACATATAACATAAATTATACAGTAATTTCTATAATAGTGCATATTGCATATACTTATATACACATGGTTATATACATATACATTTTGTTATATACAAAAACAATATACATATTACATATGGGATGTAAAAGTTCATGTAATTATATATGTATTCAATAATCATGTACACATATTATAAACATAAAATTAAATTCAGTTGCATTAAATTGTATATGTGTATCAAAAGATCAACGTACATCTTATCTTTTATTATTGTACTTTGAGGCAAAATACTTAAATTAAAATTAAATATATTAATGAAGTAACTACTGTAAAGAAAAAAGTCAAACTTGACAAAATTTAATGTGCGATTATTCCTGTATAAGATAGATGGTATTTAAATAGAAATGTAAATGGACAAAATTAAAAGGACAGATTTAAAAGAAAACTGGTAGAGTTATAATAATATATCATGAGCAATATCAAACTTGAGACCGAGAGAGAAAATATTTAATAACAATAATAAGGGAAAATAGTATATAGTACGTCTATTAATGTATTCATATTGTAGCAAAATATTGAGCCAAAACAAACCTAGCATCAAAAATGTATTAATAAATATATTTTGAAATATACATACTTCTTTTTCCGTAATTAATAGGAAATTTATCAACTGGGCCATAGCATCAGACAGTGATAAAAAGAACGTTCAAGTGAATGACATTATTGAGAAAGAGCAAAAGGATGTTTGTAGCTACACCATAGATTCTAGAGAATGAGGAGAAGATTGGGAACAAAGAAACATCATTGTGCTTTCGGTGGTTTAGAATAAAGGGTTCTTTTAATAAACTTACTGATGTTGTACAGAAATAGTGCAAATAATCCATGATTGCTGTGCAAAGTGATAGCAGCAGCTCATAAGGTTTCTGACCCCCAAACACTTCCCTTCAACGTTGCCCTCAAGGCTCCTTTCACGTCTTTGTTTCTCAGAGTATAGATAATAGGGTTTAAAAGTGGAGTGACTATGGTGTAGAAAAGAGATACAAACTTTCCCTGGTTTTTGGACCTACTTTTGGCTGGTTGAAGGTACATGAAGATGATGGTCCCATAGAAAATAATGACCACAACCAGATGAGATGAACACGTCCCAAAAGCCTTTTTGCGCCCTGCAGCTGATTTGATCTTCAGCACAGCTTGAGTTATAAAGCCGTAGGAGACCAGGATGAGGGACACGGGGATAATTAGAAAGACCACACTGGCCACAAAGAGCTCTGCCTCGTTGAAAGTTGTGTCCACACAAGCCAGTTTGATGAGCACGGGCACCTCACAGAAAATATGGTCCAGTTTGCGGTGACCACAAAGAGGCAGCTGCACAGTGAGAGAGCACTGGATCAAGGATGTGACCAGGCCACTGAGCCAGGCTATGCTGGCCAGGCATGTACAGAGCTTGGGGTGCATAATGGCTGTGTAACGCAATGGTTGGCAAACCGCAGCATAGCGATCGTAAGCCATCACTGCCAAGAGAACACATTCGGACGAACCCAACCCCATGGCTACATAGAGCTGGGCTACACAGCCACCGTAACTCATGCTCTTGTCTTTTCTGTTCATGGTAACCAGCAACTGTGGGGCCACACTAGTGGTAAAACAGATGTCCACACAGGAGAGATTACTGAGAAAGAAATACATAGGAGTGTGAAGCTTCGGGTCCAGGAGAGACACTAATATGATGGCAGAATTCCCCAGGATGTTCAAGATGTAAAAATGCAAAATGATAACAAAAAGGAAGCTCTCAAGCAGAGGTTGATCTGAAAATCCCAGGAGAAGAAATCCTTTTTGAGAGCTGTTATTGCCTTCTTCCATTTCCTGCAGTTTTGTTCACCATACAATTAATATTTCTGACAAAGAAGGTAATGAGGAAAACATTGATAATCTGTTGCCCGCTGAGGCTATTGTGTTTAAATATTCCATTGACAATATTAAATGATCTATAATAGCTTCCTGACTATATGTCCATTGACATGAACCCCCCTCCTTCTATTTTACCATATAGAGAGAGAGAGAGACAGACAGACAGAGACAGAGACAGAGAGAGACAGAGAGAGAGTCTATTGTATATAACTCCAGTCTTGGACACTGTCCCTGAGCCTCTTTGTCCTCGAGGCTAGCTCTCTACCACTAGTGCTACAATGCCACTAATGGCTTTTTTTTATTAGTTAAGTGGAGATAAGAGTCCCAGGGACTTACCTCTCTCTCTATGTGTGGGCTTCCACTGAGTCTCCTGAGTAACTGGGATTACAGACACGAGGCACTGATGTCTAGTTCTTTAAGTCTTTTTAAAAGTCTATTTAGTCATTCTTTACCTGTTTTTGCATATTTCTCATTTATATATTTACACATCAAAATTATGTATTTATGTAGTAAAACATAGTGTTTTAGTGTTCTTTTTGATGCAAAAGTTTTATTTTATAGTTAAATTTTGACAAATGTATAAATTTACTACCAATCTGCTTTCATCAAAACAAATTTTTACCAAATAAAATATGATGCAGCCTGTGTAAAATGAAAACTAACTTCATGTGTACAAAAGAAAATTGTCTAAGAAACCAAATGTAAATTAAATTAATGAAACATGTTACTAAAGCAGATGGATAATGAAAGTCATTAAAGTCATTATCCAACATGAATCAGGAGTATAGCATGTATTAAAAACACACTTCCTTAGACTGAAAGAAAAGATGATTGAAGGGATGATATTGATCAAGATGCATTGTACTCACAAACTGGCATGTTAAGTTAACTCCTTTGCACAACTATTTAAAGATAAATACAAGGAAAAAATAAAATGGAAATGAACATTACAATTTGTTATGGTCATTGTTACTATTTAAAAGTTCTCAAATGATAGCTGGGTGCTAGTGATTCATACCTATAATTCTAGCTACTCAGGAAGCTAAAATATGAGGATTGTGGTTCAAAGCCAGAATATACAGGAAAAAGTCTGTGAAACTTTTATGTCCAAGTAACCACCAAAAATCTCAAGTAGTAGAGTGCTACGCTTAAGTTAAAAAATAAAAACAAAAAAACTCAAGGATAGCACACTAGCCCCAGGAATATCAGATACACACACAAAAAAATTCCCAAATGATAATGTAACAAATGCTAAATTGTTAAATAAGCATATATACATAGATGCATTTTGGATTATAGGCCTGCTTTAAAAACAGCATTACTTCATTTTATAGCATCAATTTCCATTTTCCTTCAGATAAATATATTTTCTATTTTGATTTTTAAATTTCTGAAGGATAAACCTTTGGATTATACCTATTTTATGTTTGGTATGACATCAAGCATTTGACTTGACAAGGCAGTACTTTTTTAACCAAACTAAATTATCTACTTTTTAACCTTCTTAGAACCTTTTTTTTCCTTCCCATTATTTAGATACAGTAGTTCCCTGAATTTTCTGTTATTTGTCTGGATACAAACAAAAGTTTTACTGAATTGTGATCATAGATTAAGAAGGAATGGAAAAATCCTAGGAAGCTATGAGTTTTTCTATGCCTTTGATTCTTAAGGTCTACAAGTTTAGGGAAAACTACTTTATACTACTATGTATGTATATATATATATATACACCTTCCTGTGTTAGTACTGTGAACTAAGGTGGAAAATGGAATGACCAAACTCAAAAGAGAAACAAGTTTCCTATTGCTATAGTTGGTATTCTCTGTCAGTCCTAGAGGTCTTGTGACAGGGTCTCTTGACCAATGGCCCAACAATTACAAAATGTCGGCTATGTAAGGAGCACAAGAGATGAGCTGTACATCATGTCTATATGTAATATACTGTAGTGTGCCCTAAAAATACATTACAATGATAAATCTGTGTCTGTTCTTTCTACAAGAAATATATAGAGACATATATATATTTAAAAATCCATTATGACTAGTGGCTGGTGGCTCATGCCTATAATCCTAGATACTCAGGAGGCTGAGATCTGAGAATCCTGATTCCAACCCAGCCAAGGCAGGAAAGCTTATGAGGACTTTTTTCTCCAATTAACCACAAAAGACCAGAAGTAGAACTGTGGCTCAAGTGGTAGAGTGCTATTCATAAGCACAAAAGCCCAGGCCTTGAGTTCAAGCCCCAGAATTGGCAAAAATAAATTAAAAATCCATCGTGATCTAATGAAATCAGTTCTGAAGACGGTATGTTGTACAATATTAAAAATGACAAAATTCCAGGAGCTGATGGCTCATGCCTGTAATCCAAACTACTCAGAAAGCTGAGATCTAAGCTAGTTCAAAGCCAGGAGGGGAAGGAAAGTCCTTGAGACCCTTTATCTCCAATTAACCACCAGTGTGGCTCAAAGTGGTAGAGTGCTAGTTTTGAGCAAAAGAGATCAGGGACAGGACCCAGACCCTGAGTCCAATGAAAAACAACATGAAAGACAACAACAAAAAGACAAAAGAGCCAGTGAAAAAGTGTTTTGTTATATCAGGTAATTTAAAAAAAAGTGAAAGCTGCCTAGAGTATAAAAGCAGCTTAAAATTTTGTATTTCCTTACTTGTCATTTAGAGTACATATCTAGTAAAATCCATCAGTTCAACAAAAGCATATCCATTTCTGCCATCAGTATTTGACAGACTCAGTTATTCCTATTTGACATGACCATAGTTAATCAGGTCATCTGACTAACATTTAAAGAAGAAGAATGTGGCTTTGTTCTTTCCAAACCTATACAATGATGATATGGACATTTCTTAGATTGGAGATGGATCAAGTCTAGGGACATGTTTAAATGTTTGTTTGTAAACTATCAGCACACTCATTTTATAGTCCTCACAGAAATTAATATAATAGTGCATGTTTCTATGACTGGAAGTTGTGTTTAAAATTTTAAGTACACTAACATTCAAATCAAAATGTTAGAGAATACCTGATAGTGAACTTTTTCCTGGATGTTCTCTGTCTCATTAAGCACTTTTTGTAGAAATCAGTGATAAATCTCATACAATATAAGTAAAAAAAAACTTAATAACACTAGAAACTCCAATAAAACTTATAAGGAGGGAGAAAAGGAAGCAGGTACTTGCTTAGTGATGTTCAGGAGGCAGGGAGCATAGCCAGCTGATTATACATTGTTGAGAATGGGAAATTAGAAAAGCAAGCAAAGTCCACTGAACAGCCATATGTGTATAGACTCTATCACCTATAGACTTTCTCACAGATAGAGTATAAAATAATTAGTAGTTCTAAGGAGAGATGCAGTACAAAACCTCCATACAGAGGTAAAAAGCCTACATTTAGAGTCTGACATATTTATAATTTGTAACTCCTCAGGGATTACAATCCCAACTCACCAATTAAACTTTTAGAGATACAATACAGATTTATGGTCCTAGAATCAGTACTTCTTGGGAAACAAGTCTTCTAATTGACCTATGCTCACAAAAGAAATAGAATAAATTTTTTAAACATTATTGTCATTGATGTTATATATACATTGATTATTATATATGCATTGATATTATATAATACATCCATTAATTATTTAAACAAATTTGAGGTGGGAAATTAAAAACTGAAATTTATTTAGAGATAGATTAAAAATAAATGGAAAGGAAATGTGGAAACAAAAATAAGTATAAAATACAGAAGAAAGAACTATTTTAAAAAATAGTGACTGATCATGTCAGGTCAGAATTTAAAAAGGATTTTACGAGGATTGAAATGGACTTTAAAATTTTTGCAAGTCAACAAAATATTTAAAAGCCAAATTTATCTTTACTGAATTCCTGTGCACTTATAGTATTATTTCTTTTTTATGTTTTTATTGTAAAAATACTGTACAAAATAGTTACAGTTACGTGACTAAGGCAATGAGTACATTTCCTATCAAGCATTTTTACCTCCTCCTTTGTTCTCCCCCACCATCCCTTCCCTCCCCACTTCCCCTCCTCCTTCCCCACCTCAAGTTGTAAAGTTTGTTTTCAACGTAGTGTCTTGTATAACTCATTGTTACAATGAGTCAGCCTGTATCCTTGTTTCATCATTTTGTTTTTTCCCTGCCTCTCCCCAAATTAGAGAAATGTATATACAAGATGCAGGGCACCAATATCAAATACAGTGAAAACAGGGGTTATTTCCATTTTGACTTTACATAATATAAAACATGGACAGTCATGGAGATCTTGATTCAAGTTTACTATGAATTCAGATCACCTGTATCATGATCTTATTTTAATGTGAGAATATAAAACTCAAAAGCTTGATGAATAGCAAAAGGATATGCCACATTACAAGTGACTATATCTGAGCTAACCATTTTAACCCAGAGATCAAGATTTGTATTTCTGTTTCAGAACCTCTCATATGCAAAGCTAAATTGCTTAAAAAAAAAAAAAAAAAAAACATAAAGAATAATGCACAAATAAGCAGTGTGACTGTGTCAGAAAATACTGACATTAAGAGTAATATTTTATTTTAACTAACAAGCATGCCCTTATTGGATGATATTAAGATAAGATGCATATTATTTTATTAATTAGACTTAATCCAAGTATATCTTCAATTTATCTCCAATTTTTCATTAACAAAGATACCTTCTTTTATTCTCTAATTATATATTTATGTTTTAGGGTTGTTTTTTGGTTGGTCGTGAGGCTTGAACTCTGGACCTGAGCACTGTCCCTCACCTCTTCAGTTCAAGGCAAGCACTCTACCAGTCGAGCTACAGCGCCACTTCCCCTAATTATATATTTATAATATATGAATATGTTTGGTTAAAGTCATAAGGGTGTTAATTTACAACAATAAACATAATTCCATAGCCAAGTTCTATATGTAAATGTCTTAAG